CAACAAAGTATCCTAGACACAGATCCATATTTCATGAACAAACTGTGATATTTCAGTGAGAGAGCTCTGAACACCTGCTGAAAGGAAATGTTCTTCTCTAAACGAGAGCTAGTACTGTAACCAACACAAATATACTTAAATTTTTAATGAGTGTAAAAGAAATGGTTGGAGGAAAGAAATAAACCTTCAAGAAAAGAGCGTATTCCTTTTTAAAAGGCCGGCAACACACCTGTGACTCCTCTGGTGTTGCGGGTGTCTAAGACTGACGTGATAAAATGCACTATGCGTCTTTGATTACCTCTTCTGGGATATAGGATCATAATAAAATTATTAATAGGTTTTCATATTAATACTACTTAATATTTCTATTTAAATATACCAAGCAGTAACCTAACACGTTCACTTATAAAACATAATATTTAAATAATTTTGCTGAATTGTAGCACCTTCATAGTATTATTAATTTATACACAGTTAATTTTACAGTCTGTCTGTACTGTCGGCTCCCCAGCTTCCGAGCAGCCATCTTGTCCCCTATTACATTTAATTACCACCTAAACTAGAAACCTTATTGAGCTTCGCATTGCCTCTTATAAACGTTGTGATAACTACTTTTCGTCACAAATAATGATCCTTGATGATAATAATAAATAATTGAGGCAAAAATATTAGTTTGAGATTGTTTATAAAAGCTTTATTTATAAATAAACTAATTAATAACTACAATTATGAAGTAATCTCGATTAATTATTATGTGTTTCGGCTTACTCACGAAATTATTTGACAAGGAACTCGACTAGTTTCAAGCCATGCCAGAGGCTTATATTTAAGAGCAGCATTCCGCGACCTGCGACGCCACGACTATCGCGCTGCTACTGGTTACTTGAGTTTGCGGTGCAGGCCCAGGACGCCCTCTGTCGTGAATAATAATAATTGAGTATGTTTCACGAAAGTTATTACATAAATGAAGTTAACATCATTGTTACCTATGCTATGCAAACTTTTCCTACGTACACCAGACTTAGTTTCGTACCCATAATTTCATGAAATTTTTACCTAGCTGATCTTCTTCATAGCTAAAGGACATGTCCATCTTGAAACGCCCGAATGAAGTCTTTGACAAGCTTCTTCTATTTAACTCTGTCTTTTTTACACATGATACACAATATAAAACACATTTAGTAGATTTTAGTTCAGACACTTCATAGCTTAATCTAACTCTGATATCGAATCTGGACCCCCGCCACAAGTAATCACAGTTACAGCTAGAAAAACAAAACGACACAATGTTGGTAATATTAAGTGAGTTACTATCAGATGGGTATAAACAATAAATAACTAGGTTTTGGCAACGGTTCGCGTCTGAGCTATATTTATTGTTTACAAAAACAGTTCTGTTTGTACCGTTGTGAAGTTCGACGTTATATTTTACATCAGTGTTTAATAATAGAAGGATTTTATACCCTTTTTAGGAACATTGAGATTAGGAATTGAGACTATCACAAAAGGTCTTTTTCTAAGGGCGGGAAAATCATCGAATGATTGCTCCCGCCTAGGTGAGCCGGGAGAGACTCTTATTGACTAAAAACCACCCCGTTCCTACTCCTGCACTTCGAGCCGGAGCCCCGGCAACCCGTCAGGATCTCCGCGGCTCCGAATCGACATCAGCCCTATTGGGGGCCCAATCATTGGGGGATCATCTGTGGTGGTCTGATGGCTCTTTGAGGCGCGCATCACAAAAGGTCTGGGGTTTGTTTATCGCGTTAGACAAAGTATGATTGAAAACGAAAACAAAGTCCATCTGTAAAAATGCTGACAGTTTGTCCACGTTTCTAGAATACATCGCCACTTGTACCTCAATTTTATAAAAACTATACAGAATTTGCTATAGTATAGAATAAGGCAGGCTTTGACCAGCTATTGCCCCATCTAGCTGAATCGGAAACACTATCCACTGTTGGTTTCGCTACCATAAAACGAAAAAAAGAACTCTGTAGCATATCAACTACTTAGGCAGACTATCCACATAGTTTTTATAATACCCATCGTGAGACATACTAAATTAACTAAAAATCGCGGATCACTCACGTGAATATACTGAGAAAAACTCTAATAGTTTCGAACCACAGAGGGTTCCTTCTCTCTCAGTATTTTCACGTGAGTAACCCGCGATTTTTATTTTATCTACATAGTGTTGAAAAAAAACTTTCTTCTAATAAAGAAATCATCAAAAAATGATCTCAAACGTTATCACTATAATCCCAATAACAAACAAACAGCCGGTAAAGCCGAGTATACCCGTGTATCGAGCGCGGGGCGTGTCGGATCGATCGTCACGCCTCGTGCCCACCCCACCCGGGTCCTCGCCGTGAAAGTGTAACGCAAGATGAGAAGGGATGCTAGTACAGCCGTGTTTAAAAGAAGTTGCGTATAGTTCGTAGAATATTGTTTAACCGGGTATTTTGGGTTGATTGTTTTTATTTTTTGTTGTAGTTAGAGCTATGTATATGACGAGGGTACATGAAAAAGTCGGTACTTGGGCAAAGACTATGTCATACTTAAGGCTATTTTGTTCAAAGAAAAGAACCGAAATAGGTTAATAATTGAGTGACTTTTAATTGGTAGTTTTTGTAGCATTGTAGTTGTGATCATACATACATAAACTCTCTGCCTACACCCATGGGAGACAGGCGTGAGGATATGTATGTAGTTGAGGTACAGTAAATAGTAGCAAATATTAAAAAGGTCATATCCAAATTAAATAACCTAATAAAGTAGGAAACTGAACCCAAGAAATCTTTTGCTCACCTCATTTGTGAACGCTTGACCAAGGATTACTATCGAGTGACGAAACTTTATTTGTTCAGCTTATACCCATCGCTGTTTATAGGATTAACGCAGCGTCTCTTACAAGCATTTGTACAGATGACGTGATTTTCTCACCATATAAGTTTGTCAATGAATACAAAGTTATTAAAACTAGAATTCTTAAGTTTCTCTTCATCCAAATGTAAGAATTCCTAGTCATCTTACCAACTTCAAGTAACCATTCCACCCAACTTGACTAAGCATGAAATGGTTACATCACATCAGTGAGCCGCGACCATCGATCGGTCCGGTCCCACCCGGTTACACCCGGGTACGCCCGGCTAGCTAGTCGATACCCGGTTCACGGCCGGGAGAACTACATCAATAATGTACACCATTGTATCGGATATTTGACGGTACGTTGTATAAGCCAAATACGGATATTTGATACAGTGAATGCCTTGCTGGTTGGCTCATGTTTTTGATACTTGTAGCAGTTTGGGTAGCGTTTCGTTGTTTCTGAAAGCGAAATTGCGGTTAGGTTTAGTCAGTGTAGTATTTCTTCTCCTCTTATAATATCTTCTGATTCACTTCGTTGCGGGAACCAAGACAGTTACTCATGTCCCTGGGACGCACCGGACTTTAGTGTTCCGGTGTTTTCATGGTTGTATCTACTGTAGATCCTGGCTTACAGAAGTTGCTGCAGTTTTGGGAGGTTGTGACAGGCTTGTCCCATTAAAAAAAATGAAGTCAGTGTAGTATTTAGATTTAATGATGCTGTAGCATGTGTGTCCTTCTGATCAAATTATTTTGTTTACTTTTAACATTTAATTGTGTCGATCGGATTGCAAATTGTAGTTGGAAATTATATTAAGATCTTTATGTCAAACTATCGTGAATTGGTGTGATACATATTTGCTTATTTCATGTTGTAGATTCAGCCGATAGTTTGAATTCTTATTATACCTTTTATGACTTAACGTTACTCATCACCATCAAAAGCCTATAAATGTCAACTGCTGAGCAAAGAGCACAATTTGTACGCCTCCGGGTATAGCATAGCGCTCTTTTTTATTACCATATATAAGACCTATATCTGAATGCACCTATGTTAACAAATAAAAGTGATTTGATTTGATTTGATTTGAAAGCCTCTTCTCCCACGGAGAAGGTTTGAGCATTAATCACCACGCTTGCTCAATGCGGGTTGGCGATTTCAAATTTATAATTATACATTATAAGCCCAGGTTTCCTCACGATATTTTCCTTGACCATTTGTCAGTGGTGTCTAGATAACCTTAGAAAGTACATATAACTCACAGAAGGTCATTGGTAGGTTTTCCGCACCGGGTGGGCGTATTAAACCTCCGAGCCACCACGACATTTATCTTAACGTTACTATATTAGAAAGAAGAAAGAAGAAAGAAAATACATTTATTTGGCCATTGGCACACGAAGACAAGGATCATTACAATACAATTAAAAAATACAGTGAAAAAATAAAAACAAAACATTAATAATAGATTTTATGAAAGAGAAAAGAAATGAACAAAAATCATTAAAACATAACAAAATATAAATAAAATAATAACCGGAACTAAAAAAATAAAACTAAAAACAAAAAAAAAGTATAATTATATATATAAAACAAGGAAAGAAATATAAAAATAATAAAGTGCGCGTGCCCAGGCCAAAAGGGCGACCACCTCAGCATATAGTTGAGCGTTCCTGCCCAACGCTGGTTTTCAGGTGGCACCCTGCAGTGACTCACGGACGGCGGTACCGCCCCTCAATAAGGAAAAGAAAATAATTAATAATAAAAGATAATAAAATTATACAAACAAAACAAAATTCTGCAGAATATGTGTGTACATGTGCGTGAAAAATTGCGATCAGAATAATGTATAGATATTATATTTCCGATACGGAGCTGCGAAGAACTGAACGGGTTACCGGGGCTCTGGCTCGAAGTGCAGGAGTAGGAACGGGGTGGTTTTTAGTCAGTAAGAGTCTGACACTCCATCCCGCCTCACCCTGGCGGGAGAAGTCATTCAATGATTTTCCCACCTTAAAAAAAACTATATGATATTTACACATTTTATCAGCTTTCTGCAATTCTTCTGTATTCAAAACCCTCGTATCATCTACATTTAACATTGCCACATTAATAACCAAATGTTTTTCTCCTCCAGGTCACGGCGGAGTAAATCAACTAGGTGGAGTATTTGTGAACGGACGACCGCTTCCAGACGTGGTGCGGCAGAGAATAGTGGAGCTGGCTCACTCAGGAGTACGGCCCTGTGACATCAGCCGGCAGCTGCGGGTGTCACATGGATGTGTCTCCAAGATACTATCGAGGTGAGTAGGAGAATATGGTGGAAGGATTGCCTTTATCATCATCATTACTTTATCAGCCATAGGACGTCCACTGCTGAACACAGGCCTCTCCTAATGACCTCCAAATAGACCGAAGCGATCTGCATCCAACCTTTTTACGCAGTTGTACGTGTTTTTTTTATTTAAGCAACAACCTCTTTGGTTTCCTTTAACTAGGTACTGTATATTAGCCGCGACTTCACCTACTTGTAAGGATAATCACTGAATCATTTGTTAAATCCTGTTACCTATACCTAAATCACATTTGCACGCGGTTTAATTCTTGTGAATCTAAGGGTCGATTTTTCAATCATCAGTTAGTTTTTTATTGTAGAGGTAGAATAAAATTGACGTTTGACAGTTTTTAGTATAGAGTAAATGGTCAAATGTTCAAAGCTTCTGGCATGTGTGTCTAGTGTTTGATTATCTTACTTAAACCTGAAAATCCAGAAGTATTACCTATTCATAACACAATAAACTTTAAGGATAAGAGCAAGATGAAGAAGCACTAATAAGTATATCACTGTAATTGGCAAAAAAGCAGTGAAAATTACAAACAAAACCACGAATAAAACTACTGTAGGTAACTTTATAATCTCATCGCCTTCCATCCTTTAATAACAGCGAGTATTAACCCCTCCAACACAGATTTACCACACACATACACACACGTTGTGTATGAGTGTGCGTGCCCCCGTTCCGCACAATAAGCCCGGCGTGTGCGCAGGTCCACCCGCTAGACAATACGCTTATGTCATTTTCTTTTGTTTCGATTCGTTTGTAACTGGCTGTTGGGTTCCGTCCGAGTATTTTGTGAAACTCTTTGATATATGTTTTCTTAAAGTTTTACTTTTAATAATAATCGAGTTATTTATTTCTGACTGCCTCGTTGACCGAGTGGTCGCAAGTGCGACTGCCGGGCAAGGGGTTGGATTCCCGGATCGGGTAAAGTACTATTGAGTTTTTTTTTTAATTCTCAGTAGTCGCACGGAGTCTGGAATTGTGCCAGGTATATGGCGATAGGCTCACCTCCTATTGCATGGGACTCGTAACATAAATAGTGAAAATTGGGTGTTATACAGTGGCATTAAGTACCTCTGCACCTCTATCCCTTCGTGGTAAAAGGCGTGATGTTATGTTATTTGTTTTTTTACTAGATTCCAACGCCAATTACTACGATTCCTACATACCTCTTTCGCTTCATCAACTTTATGGACGCGACAGGGCATTATGAACAGGGGATCAAAGTGTTTAAAAATTACTTACGGAACCACTCCATTTCAAAGAGAATACCACTTTATATCTCCAAGCTAGATCTAATTGGCGTATTTATAACTAAAGTTGGTATCTTACATCAAAAAAATGATTGTGATTCCGTTACAAAAAACATATAATTAAGATGACGGAACTCGTTTCGTGATTTGAAACGATTTTCCGTGATTTATGTTATATATGTATTCTATGTATATGTGTGTTATTATTAATATTGTTCGTTGTTTTATGTGTCTAGTTGTCGTTATGTTTAATTGTAGAATTATTTCTTTGATTGCTAGTGAGTGTTTAGGTTTGGGTAATGTAAATGAAGTTAAGATAGGTTTTCAATTCTTAACTGGCTTGTCCGAAACATCTACACGCTTTAATATTCATGCATAATTAAAAATAGAATCTCAAAGAGAAAATGTAAAAGTAAACTAAGGTTCTCAGATTGATTCCCAATCCGACCAAGTATTTGATATCCAAATATAATTCAATATAAATTGCACATCAAAATTACCCTATGACGATGAAGCTCATGAACCTCGCACAGCAAAACTGTGGAATGATCTGTCGCCGGCAGTATTTCCGAACCAATACAACCTTGAAACATTCAAGAAATGAGCATATTCTTTTTTAATAGCCCGGCAACGCACCTGTGATTCCACTGGGGGGTGTCCATAGGCGGCGTTGAACAATTACCATCAGGTGATCCGTCTGCTCGTTTACCTCCTATTCCATAAAAAAAAACAATTTAAATAGAGGGGCAGTTACCTCTAACTATACTTACACCTTCAAGAAACAACAAGCTTGTTAATATTCCAATAACCTCATATTCACGCCCTCACAACAAATACAAGTAGGACAGCAATTATAAATAACAAGTTAAAAGCGACTTAACACTAATTATTTAAAGTTAACAACAGTCAAGTTAACTGCTCATCATTTGCGGTTAACCAATGTTAAACAGCTCTGCCAGCTAACTGTACCAGTTAATTTGAGCTTAGTTAAATATAATGGCCGTATTATTTAACAGCTGTTTATGTTTCGGTTAGATACGATTATTGTGTCGGAGAGGCATGCTTCGGCACGAATGAGCTGGGTAAACCGGAGTGATACCACGCCCTCACAGAAAACCAACGTGAAACAACACATTCGTTGTGTTTCGTCGTGTAAGTGAGGTTACCGGAGGCCCAATACCGCTCCTTCGGCTTTCCCAATCTCCCCAATACCTGAATCCATAATAATCGTCGCCTCTGGTGTTCAAGGTGTCCATGGGCGACGCAAATTTACTTACCATTAGGTGACCCGTCTGCTCGTTTACCGGCTTATTCCATAAAAAATGGTTATGTTAGTCGTGGTGGCTCGGAGGTTTAAGATATTTATTCACATGCATGAGAGTGCCAGTGTGCGGGTTCGAAACCTACCAACGGCAAGTATCAAGTACCATCTGTTGTATAGTATGATTTACCATTTTAAATTTTTACTAGATACTATCGACATGAAATTGATAGTAAATCAAAATAAAATACTTTCCACCTAACGTTAATGACCTAACTTGATGCCTATCAGCTCTAAATTTCACAAAAAAAAAACCTTATGAAATTACACACCTATGATTCCCAAAATCTTTCATGAATCACCAAAACTAGTAGCAGCTCAGACATACCTATACGCATCATGAATTCATGAATCATTCTAAACTAGTTACAACTTGTTTGAAAATCCATTCTGTAGATTTTCGCCACAGATTTAACCAATACAGTCATGCGGTAGAAATAATGTTTTTTTTTAATATGTTAAAATAGTCTGAAATGTTTTGCCTACCTTATTATGCCTTTGAAAGTTATTTTGTGCTGGTTTCATAATAGACTTTTTTGAACTCGACTACCAATCCAAACTTGAGATTATAACAAACGTTCGTATAGTGTAGAGGAAGCTAATACTCCAGCAGAGAACTGTTACAGACTGCCTCGTTGGCCAAGTGACTGCTGGGGAGGGCAAAGTACTACTGGATTTAAAAAAAATCTCAGTAGTAGCAAGGAGTCTGGAAATGTACCCGGTATATGGCAATAGGCTCACCCTCTATTACATGGAACTCATAATATACATAGTGAAAAGTGGGTGTTACAGTGTACAGTGGCGTTAAGTGCCGTAATATACACATCTGCCTACCATTTCGGGGATAAAATGCGTGATGTTATGAATATGTTTGTTATGTGATCTAAATCTGACCATGATAGACAATCATATTTAGTATAGTCCCCAAAATCATATTGTAAACCCAAAATATCTTCTTTCTTCTCTCCGACCCACAATCAAGTCCAATTTTATTTAAACTCTCAATGATTACAAGTCCATTATTAGAGATACGACACTGCACAATGATTTGACGATATAATATCGATATAGAGAGGACAATGACTTGAATGGGGCGCCGGGATTTCAGCTGACCATTGTCCAATTTAAATTGAAAACTGCGCGCAGTGATGGGAAATGTGCTTGTTTTCGCGGGACGCGGGATTTTTGTACCTACGGAATGTGGTTGTGTGTTTTTGAATGTGATCGAAGTTAAGAAGGTTGAGTCTTAAGTAGTTCAAATGTTGGTCATGCAATTTATAATAAAAACGTACAATGATGAATTAGCCCGTTGAAAATCATCCCCTAAATTTGTTCATACAAAAGTAGTCTTAACTTTGGAAATAAGGTCTATAATATAGTGAGTGGAGAGCGGTCACCGGTGACCGCTTGGGGATATATGGGTACAGGTGAATAAGAAAAAACATAAATAAATAAGCGTACAGTACAACAATACAGAAATAAATAAAACACTACCATTTATGTTCGTAATTATGTTATAGTTTTGACTCCCATATTTTAAATAAAAAAGTAAACACATACCAACAATTTACACTAGGTAATTTGTAAGTACTAAAAATGGTAGTATCCACTCAACAACTTCACCTCCCAAATTGCAACTCATCACATCTCCACGTACTGACAGAAAACATAATTTTTCCTCGACAAATCAATCGATGGATCCCGGGCTGCCCATCCCTAATCCCGGGGGACACTCAATCGGCTCGATCCGAACACTCGCTTTTCAATTTATATCCCACTCTCACAATTCAACCCTATGTTTTGTTTTCAAGCCCCCAGCGGGTTCATTTTTGTCTTAATGACAGAATGTCGTATACGTCTGATGTAAAGATTGTTCAACGGGGATTCAAATGCTGGTACTTGGGTTTTGAATGGGATGTAGGTTAGGGTAACTTGTCATTAAGAGTATTTTTAGGAAGAGGTCGTAAATGGAAATTACTTTTTTAGTTTTAGTTACAATATTATGCAAGCAGGCTACATTTTTGAAAACTCACTCGCAAGTAAAATTACATTATGTTATGATCAGAATGAGTTAAAAGTAACTGTTATTGAATTTATCACTTTTGAAATTCTGTGAGACGTCATGAAAACTAGAATACAGGTGGAAATTGTTTGTATTTTAAGTGTGGGAGAGCCATGCTTTGGCACGAATGGGCCGGCTCAACCGGAGTGGTACCAAGACCTCACAGAAAACCGATGTGAAGCAACGCTTGCGTTGTGTTTCGTCGTGTGAGTGAGGTTACCGGAGGCTCAATTATCCTCCCCTTCCCCAATCTCCCAAATTCCTAAATCCCCAACGATCCTCAAACTCCTAAATCCCAAAAGGCCGGTAACGCACTTGTAATGCC